AGACTTTAAATCAAAAACGACTTTAAAGAGACAAAGGTCACTATATAGCGATAAAAGAGTCAATTCAACAGGAAGATATAACAATTATAAACACATATGCACTCAATATCAGAGCACCTAAATCTATAAAGCAAACTGACAGATTTGAAAGGAGAAACAGATGGCAATAGAATAATAGTAGGACACTTCAATACCCCACTTTAAATAATAAAAAGAACATCCAGAATGAAAATCAATAAGTAAACAGCAGACTTGAACAACATTATAGACCAAATGGACCTAAGAGACATACAGAATTCTACCCAATAGTAGCAGAATACATATTCTTCTCAAATGCACACAAAACATTCTCCAGGATCACATGCTAGGTCACAAAACAAATCTTAACAAGTTTAAGACTGAAATCACCTCAAGTATTTTTTTCCAACCACAATGGAATGAAACTAGATATTAATAGCAGGAAAAAAGAACCAAGAAAATTCACAAATATGCAAAAATTAAACAACACATTCTTGAACAAACATTGGGTCAAAGAAGAAATCAAAAGGAAAATTAGAAAATACACAGAGACAAATGAAAACACAAGATACCAAAACTTATGGGATGCAGCAAAAGCAATACTACGAGAGAAGTTTACAGTGATAAATGCCTACATCCTTTCTACAAAAAAAGAAAGATCTCAAAAAAAATAACTTTACACCTCAAGAAACTAGAAAAAGAAGAACAAATTAAACTCAAAGTTAGCAGAAAGAAAGAAATAATAAAGATTAGACCAGAAATAAATAAAATAGAAAATAGAAAAACAGTAGAAAAAATTGACGTAACTAAGAGTTGGTTTCATGAAAAAATAAACAAAATTGACAAACCCTTAGACTAAGAATAAAAGAGAGAAGACTCAAAGAAAGAAAATCAGAAATGAAAGAGGAGACATTACAACTGATGCCACAGAAATAAAAAAAGATCATAAGGGACTATTATAAACAATTATATGTCAACAAAATGGACAACGTAAAGAAATGAATAAATTCCTAGAAACATAAAACCTACCAAGACTGAATCAAGACTAGAGAACTTGAACAGACCAATAACAAGTATGGAGAGTGAAGAAGTAATCAAAAACCTCCCAACAAAGAAAAGCGCAGGACCAGATGATCTCACTGGTGAATTCTACCAAACATTTAAAGAATTAATACCAACCCTTAAACTTCCAAAAAATTGAAGAAGTAACACTTCAGAATTCACGTTATGAGGCTGGCACCACCCTGGTACCAAAGCCAAACAAAAACATTACAAGAAAACAAAACCAGAGGCCGGCCCCGTGGCTTAGCGGTTAAGTACATGCGCTCCACTACTGGCGGCCCAGGTTCGGATCCCGGGCGTGCACCGACTCACCGCTTGTCTGGCCATGCTGAGGCAGCAACCCACGTACAGCAACTAGAGGGATGTGCAACTATGATGTACAACTATCTACTGGGGCTTTGGGGAGAAAAGGAAAAAAAAAGGTGGGGGGAGGAGGATTAGCAATAGATGTTAGCTCAGGGCCGGTCCCCCTCAGCAAAAAGAAGAGGATTGGCATGGATGTTAGCTCAGGGCTGATATTCCTCACACACACACAAAAAAAGAAAACAAAACTACAGGCCAATATCCCTGATGAATATGAAGACAACAATCCTCAACAAAATATTAGCAGATCAAATTCAACAGCAGATTGAAAGAATCATACACCATGACCAAGTGGGATTTATCCCTGGGATGCAAGGATGGTTCAACATATGCAAATCAACCAATGTGATACACCACATTAACAGAATGAAGGATAAAAATCACGTGATCATCTCAATAAATGTAGAAAAAGCATATGACAAAATTCAACACTCTTTGATGATAAAAAAAAAGTCTCAACAAATTAAGTATAGAAGAAACTTACCTCAACACAATAAAGACAGCCCATAGCTAACATCCTAGTCAGTGGTGAAAAACTGAAAGCTTTTCCTCTAAGAAGTGAAACAAGGCAAAGATGCCCACTCTTGTACCACATGTATTCAACATAGTACTAGATGTCCTAGCCAGAGCAATTAGGCAAGAAAAAGACAAAAAGGGCATCCAAAATAGAAAAGAAGAAGTAAAATTCTCTGTGTTTGCAGATGACATGATCTTATATAAAGAAAACCCTAAAGACTCCACACACAAAAAAAAACTATTAGAACCAATAAATGAATTCAGTAAAGTTTCAGGATACAAAATCAACATACAAAAATCAGTTACATTTCTATGTACAAAAAACAAACTATCTGAAAAGGAAATCAAAAAACAATCCTATTTACAATAGCATCAAAAATATTTAAATACTTAGGAATACACTTGACCAATGAGGTGAAAGACTTGTATACAAAAAAACTATAAAACATTGATGAAAGAAATTTAAAAAGACAAATAAATGGACAGACATTCCACACTCATGGATTGGAAGAATTAATATTGTTAAAATATCCATACTACCCAAAGCAATCTATAGATTCAAGGCAATCCCTATCAAAATCCCAATGATACTTTTTACAGAAATAGAAAAAACAATCCTAAAATTTATAAGGAAGCACAAAAGATTCTGAATAGCCAAAGCAATTCTGAGCAAGAAGAACAAAGTTAGAGGCATCACAGTGCCCTATTTCAAAATATATTACCAAGCTACAGTAATCAAAACAGCACGGTACAAGCATAAAAAAACATAGAGATCAATGGAACAGAATCTATGCATATCTGGTCAACTGATCTTTCACAAGTGTGCCAAGAATACACAATGTGGAAAAGATAGTCTCTTTAATAAAGAGTATTGGGAAAACTGGATATCTACACACAAAAAGAATGAAATTGGACTCTTATCTTATACCATATACAAAAATCAACTCAAAATGGATTAAAGACAAAAACTTGAAACCATAAAACTCCTAGAAGAAAACCCAAGGGAAAAGTTTCTTAGCCTTGGCAATGATTTCTTGGATATGACAACAAAAACACAGGCAACAAAAGCAAAAATAGACAAATGAAATTACATCAACTTCTGTACAGCAAAGGAAACAATCAACAAAGTGAAAAGGCAACCTATGGAATGAGAGAAAATATTTGCAAATCATATATCTGATAAAGAGCTAAAATCCAAAATATATAAGGCACTCATATAACTCCATAGCAAAACAACAACCTGATTTAAAAATGGGCAAAGGACCTGAATAGACTATTCTCCAAAGACGACATACAATGGCCAATAGGTACCTGAAAAGGTGCTCAATATCAGTAATAATCAGGGAAACACAAGTAAAAACCACAATGAGATGTCACTTCAACCTGTTAGAATGGCTATTATCAAAAAAACAAAAGATAAGTGTTGGCAAGGGTGTGGAGAAAAGGGATCCCCTATACTCTGTTGGTAGGAATATAAATTGGTACAGCCACTATGGAAAATAGTACGGAGGTTCCTCAAGAAATTAAAAATGAGACTACCATGATCCAGCAATCTCAGTTTTAGGTATATATACAAAGGAATTGAAATCAGGATCCTAAGAGATATACACACTCCCATGTTCCTTTCAGCATTGTTCACAATAGCCAAGACACAGAAGCAACCTAAATGTCCATCAACAGATGAATGGATAAAGAAAATGTGTTAGTTACATACAATGTAGTATTACTCAGCATTTAAAAAGGAAACTCTGTCATTTGTGACAACAGTGGTGAACCTGGAGGACACTGTGCTAAGCAAAATAAGGCAGACATTGAAGAAGAAAACTACATGATCCCACTTATATGAGGAATCTAAAATAGTCAAAACTCATAAAGGCAGAAAGTAGAATGGTAGCTGCTAGTGGCTAGAGGGAGGAGGAAATGGGAAATGTGTTGGTCAAAGGGTACAAAGTTTTGGGGCCAGCCCAGTCGCATAGTGGCTAAGCTCGCACACTCCGCTTCGGCGGCCCGGAGTTCGTGGGTTTGGATCCTGGGCGCAGACCTACACACTGCTGATCAAGCCATGTTGTGGCAGTGTCCCACATACAAAATAGAGGAAGACTGGCACAGATGTTAGCTCAAGGACAACCCTGCTCAAGCAAAAAGACAAAGATTGGCAACAGATGTTAGCTCAGGGCCAATCTTCCTTACCATTTAAAAAAAAAAAAGGGTATAAAGTTTCAGTCATACAAGATGAATAAGTCCTAGAGATCCACTGTACATCATAATACCTATAGTTAATAATACCGTATTGTGTATTTAAAAATTTGCTAAGAGGGTAGATCTCATGTTAAGTATTATCCCAAAGAACAACAACAACAACAAAAAAGAGGGCAAGAGGAAACTTCTGGAGGTGATGGATATATTTATGGCATTCATTGTGTCTCACAGGAGTATACTTATTTCAAAACACATCAAGTTGTATAAATTAAATATGTACAGCTTTTTGGACGTCAATCATGCCTCAATAAATTAGATTTTAAAAAATAAATAAAAATATATTAAGTATATAAAGTGATTATCAAAGTGCATGCAGAATAACCACTTAATAATTAGGAAAGATTATTCCAGTCCTCCTACATCCTTCAGATAAAATTAGCCACTCTCTACTCTTTAGCTCCCCCAGCCCACTGCACATGTCTATATCATTTTACACATTATATCAGAACTATGTGTTTGCATATTTGTTTCCTTCATCAGATGATGAGCTCTACTGAGGGAGGGACTGCAGTGCATTGGCGGCCCCCAAACCATCACATACATGAGAGCCATTTGCTTAAGTGTTAACTAAAAAAGAAAATGAATCCATCAGTCTAGTCACGGTGAGGCAGACAATAAAGCATCTTATTTCAGCCAACAATTACAATTTCACTGTTAAGACTTTTCCAAGATTGTTCTCTAAAACATAAATAACCCTGGGAAGAAGTAAAGTTGTTATGAGTCATTCTCATCTTAGTGAGGAGAGACAAAAATAAGAAATATGAACAAAATGCAAAGGATACGCCATTCCTCTGATACGTTTGATTTTTCCTGGATCTGTGAGCTGGATGGGCTTCAGGACCTTCCTTACAGGACATGAGAAAAACACTTCACCTCCTCCTCCAGGCGGCATTCCCCGTCGCACAATCTGCACACGTGGTGAGAAAGTAGAGGCAAGGGTGTAGCCAAGAGTGGATGACAACCAACCCAGTAAGGATACACCCAGGGGCTCTTCCTTAGAGAGCAGATAGCTCTTTCACATTCAACTTGTCCATCCCTTCAAGATTAACAGCACCTTATGTTAGCTCCCAGAGGGCACACGCTGAGCAAGGACATCCCATGGTGAGTCAGAGAGATCAGCAGACACAGAGCCAGCCATGTCCCAGTCAAAGTCAGGCAAGGTCCCTCTACCACCTGGACCTATTTCTTCATCCTTAAAATGAGAGACTGATCTAGTTCATGAGCTAATCCCATTTCTTAACCATCAGGAACCCATTTCTTCTCCTATGCAATTTACTGATCTATCAAAACTCTATATTATTAAATAAAAATGAAGTCATTTCCCCTGTTTAAAAACATCAATTTGAAAAGTAGAGATTATGAACAACTTAAGATATCCAGTGTTATCACCCTGGATTGATGTAATTCCTTTCAACAGCAAACAGATGCTTCCATTACTTCTACTAGATTTTGAAAATAGTGAAAATTCTCAGGGGCATCCAGGTTGATCTAGATTAGAAAGGCAATATGGCCAGAATCCTGGCTCCACTACTTATTAGCTGAGTGACACAGATGGAGCTGTTACGAGGAGTAAAGGAGTTAATATATGTAGAATGCTTACAATAGTGCCTACCACAAAGTAAGTGCAATATAACTGTTGGCTACTCTTGTCATTACTAAAGCGTCCCTTTCAGCTCAAAGTCTGTAATGTTTGGTTCACGAGTTCCATGTCTTCTCAAAAATGGTGACTTCAAATGTGACACGCACACACACACAGAGTTATAGAAGATGATAAGAAAATGTTTTATACAGATACATAAAACCAACAATTTATACATTCTTACCTTTAGCTCAAACGATTCACCATCGATCCCAAACTGTTTCAATAGAGGGAGGGCTGTTGCCCTAAGAACGTCAACCTATAGAATTATTTCAGAAAAAAAAAGTTTAATTAAACCTTGAGCAGATGGAAAGAAGAAAGAGCCTATGAAGCTGGTTGAGGCTTAGCAACCAGGTAGACGATGCAGTCTGGTAAAGAGAAAGGATGCTGGCTTACAACTGAGGGTGTGGGCTGGCTCTGCTCCCATGTCAGACTGCGCTTTTACAAGCCACTGGCTCCTCTGAGCCCCTCTTTCCTCATTTATGCATGGAGACTTACACCTACCTTACACGTCATCATCATTAGCATCACATGCATTGTGCAAAAAGCACTGAGAAACTGCTGGGCTCATACAGAAAACAAACCAGGGCCTCAGCTCATTCTTTTAGGTATAAACGCTATGGAAGAAAATAGCCTTTTTCATTCATCTTTTTCTAACATGGTTGTTTAAATGTTTAGACTTGGTGGCACTCTGAGCCAAAGCAAACCAAATGAACTACTCAACCACTACCTAAGAATCCTGCTGATGCTCACTGCACAGGCAGTTAAAGGGTAGGTGGTGATTCTACAAGGGAGTAGGGGCAGCACAAACCCCAAACTACACAATTAAATGGCAAGACTGTGCCAAGTGTTACTGTTATTTCCTCCCCATTCAGAACTCGTAGGAAGCCTGGAGTCCTTTCTTGTTCATCTGTAGATTCCTCATAGAGTATAAGGATGACATTCAAATCATGTTTATCTAACAATTCAGTGAATGTTGCCTCAACTGCAACACGGGAAAGAAAATTACTCCCTTACTTGCTCCCAATGGAACAAGAGCCTTTCCTCGGCACCGTGGAGGCTGACCTATCAGGAGGCAGTGAAGGCAGGCAGCGCAAGCAGAGGGTGTAGGGCAAGACCCTGGTCCTGGTTTAGGCTCTGCATCTAGTCAGCTCTGTGGCCTCAGACAAGAAAATCCCAAACGTCTGAATTTCCTTGTCTGTAAGGTAAGGGGCTCAGCCTGTCTCCAAGTTGCTACCAACTCTAACATGCGAAGATGCAATAGAATAATTGGCTCCAATAAGGCTTTGGAGCAGAGAATAGGCCCCAACTGTATATTCTGATATCAGAAAATTAACCAGAGGCAGAAATGACCTATGAAGCCTAGGAACATGTTCAGAATGGATCAGGTGGGCCAGAAGCAGTTACTAATAAAACCCATAAGAGATTAGCTAATTTCAATTACATATTAAAGCTAAACACATCCCAAAACTTAAAATATGTATTTGAGATTGCCAGAACCAAGAAGAATTCAGTCTAGGCTAGTATTAACGGCATCTGGGGAGAAGGCCAAGCCTTCTGGAAAAAGTGCGGGATGCAAAGATGCAGGTTTCTCTGCCCACACTACTCCCTGGAACGAGGCAGACACCAGCTCTCTTGGGGAAGAGAAAAGAGAGTATCCTTTCTGGCTCACCCTACCTATACATGGAGTCATAAGGAATGAAGTCAAATTTGAGGGTTAGCCAGAAGTCCAAGTGTAACTCCAGGTGTGGTCATCTCTCCTAAATCATCTCCATCTGACATGGAGGGCAGGTAACTTGGTGTGGAGGGACAAGGGCTGGAAAAGCAGATGTGGGCTTGAGTCTCACTATGCCTCTTACTCACTGTGAGACCTGGACACTTTCCTGTCTCCCCAGGGCCTTGGTTTCCTGCCGTATAAAATCAAGGGCTGGGCTGGACACGTTCCACAGTCTCCTCTGGCTCTGCACACTAGTTTTAGCAGAGTGGGGGTGGTCTGCAAGTTTTGCTTAAGGGAAACTGAGTAGTCATTCTGTGGTTAGAGAGAAAATGCAAAAGTCGGACCTGAGTGGCACCTCAGGGCAAAGGTGTCACCCTTACAGTTCAGTCAATCAATCAACAGGTAGCAATGTAATCAGATCCATGCCAAATAGAAAAAGGAAAGAAACTTGCTCTCAGTTACTCTGTCTGAAACTGTGATAAGAACACCCACCTCACAGGGTTGGTATAAGAATTAAATAAAAATGGACACATATATACGTACACCTAGAATAGTGCCCAGCACACAACAGACTTTATTATATTTCTTTTCCCCTTCCAGGAGGGTAATGAAAAAGAATGGAATCCTCACTCACCATTTGATCAAGTTGATAGCACCAATAAATATCTACTGGGGGCTCTGGTGCCAAATCATTGAGATTCAAAGGAGATCTCCCAGAACTTTCCTTCTTGTCAAAATTTCTCCCCATTTCCTATCCTTTTGCCTCTGAGAGAAAAAATGTCCCTACCCATTTATAAAGCTCACCCCATCACTTCTGCTTTCTACCCTCATCCCCTCTGGACTTTTGCAGGAGTTACCCTTATTAAATCCCCCAATCTCTTTTAATTTTTTTCTTCTCTGTTATAGCTTCTCCTCAGCCTACAAGCAAGCTCAAATTTCCCCTCATTTAAAAAAATTCCCAACCTCAGCCCTTCAAGAATCATCCTATCTAACCTTCTGGAAGAATCGCCTCTAACTTCCCAAGGTTCTCTTTTCTACTTATTCCTCAACCTGTGACTGTCCTTACACTCCAGTGACACTGCTCCCTCAAAGGTCAATAAAACTTCTCACTGCTGAATCTCCCTGCTCAATCCTAACTCAACTCCTGCAAAGACTAACTCCATGGGTCATCCCGGTTCTTAGAACTCAACTCCTGCTTGGCTTCTCCAAACACTTCTATCTCCACAGTCACTGTCTCCAGCTCCTCTTCCCCCACTCACACCTTAAACATTCATTTCCTCTTCTTCTATTCTCAGTCCCTGGGACCACAGGCAAAAACTCTAACACCCACAGAGGCCAGAAAGGGAATTTAAATGCAAGATGAGGTCAGCTAAGACCTCCAGATAACTGGAGAGCTCATGCCTTATCTAAAGAGGGCAGCTGCTACTCAGCCCAAACTGATAGCTGTCGTGGAGGAACAGCAGTCCAGTGCTGCCACATCAACCTACTATAACATAAAATCTGGGGTTTCAAACATGAACAACTGATTCAGATACACACACCATCACACTGTGCAAACCAAAGGAAAAACACCTGTAGGATTAATTCAACCAAAGCTGCCAGTGTTCAACCTCTGCATTGGTCAATCTCATTCTCCTTGGGATTTAACTACCAGTAGGTGAGATCCTGACGACCTATCTCTGAGGCTCCAGACGATAATTTCCAACTGTCAACTAGATATCCCCATGTGGATATCCCACCAAAATCCCAAGGAACAGGACCAAAATCAAACACAACACCCATCACCCTACCACAATTTTTCTCTTCCCTGTGTCAAACTCTTTCTGATCACTATCCTTCAAGTCAACCAGGACAGAAAGCATGGAGTTATTTATGACCACTTCCTCCTATCCCATCTCCAATTAGTTGTCAAGTTATGAAGTCTCCCCTACACACTGTCCTTCATATCTGTCCTTTCCTTTCCACTTCCATCTCCATAATGTTCAAACTGGCTGACATCTCTCCAGTTCACTCTTTATTCGGCCTCCAGAGTTATCGTCCTAAAATCCAGACCAACTCTGTGGCTTCTCTCCCTCTAGAAAACCTTCCCCAACCTTCAGCACTTTGCTTGTACCTCTATTAGAGCCCAGAGGTATTCAGCCTTGTGGTCTCCCTAGCTGTGTTCACAGCTGTCCACCCCAGGAGACTGAGTTCCCTAAGAGCAGAACTCATCATATTCATCCTTGTGCACAGAGAGGAGACACAGACATGAACTGATGGAGAAACCACACATTAAAGAGAATGCGCGAAATGAAGAAGCCACAGGCTGAAGAAGTTAACCTTTATCCAGGATTAGGTGTATGTATTTTACCCTAGGCTGGAGCCAGATACTAATCAAGGTCATTTTAGTCATGCAGCTAGCAAAAACAGATAGTCCTGCAGCATATGAAAACAGATTTTTTTTTAATACTCTGCATAAAAGAGTTAAGTACTATCTCTGGGGCATTCATCAACTAATCTTTGTCACTATTAATACATAAAACTTTTTAAAATATTGCCAGTGATAACAGTTTTTAAGATCACTAGCAATTATAGAAAAAGAGTACAAAACTGGGACATACAGTGCCAAAGTCTTCTATATGCTTCAGGGCCTTTTCCGACTATTCAAGGCACCTTCCTCCTCACTCCAATCTAAAAGTGTAGAGCCCTCCTCTCACACTTTTAAGTGAAGGACCCATTTCCTAAAATCTTCCAGAAAATGCAGGAAAAAAGCAATCATTTGAAATTAGTTTAAAATTCTAAACAGTTTATGCAACATTCCTTTACAGCTAAGAATTTTAGATCTTGCATTGTACTCAGGATTCTAGGAAAAGAGTTTATGTACCTGAGTTCCCAAGAATTGGGGAATAAGTCTTTTAATGCCTAAGAACACATTAACCTTAGTGTCTTGGTGAATACCAGCAGTCTCCACTTTAGGACTCACTGCGCCACCTAACTGGTCTTCCCTGGTTAGGAAAGCTACACAGCCCTCAGCTTTAAGATACCATCTCCAGACGGCAGGGCATCCAAAGGAGGGGATCCTTCCCTCCCAAGAAGAGGCAGGACTGGACAGGACTTCTCTAATCTCTCTCTCTCACACACACACACACACACACAAAACCCATCCCAGACTGGCACTAAGACAGTTGTGGTGGCCACAATGAAAATTCCACCTGTATATTAAACTATCCTCTGCATATGTGCAGGAAAATTAGCATGTTTAATAAGAAGCTTACTGGTGCCCACAACCTATCAAAGCTCACATATACCCTCCCTGCCCTTATGCCCTTTTTCTAAACCTGCAAACTCTTCTTGGAAGAAGAAAGTGCTAAAGTTTACGGCTGAAGCCTGAGTAAGTCAAGATTATGCTGCAGCAATGCCAAGGAGATATTATTTTCTGTCTAAAATTTTGATCTGCTGCCTTCCAGCCTCAGCTATCACATGACCTTATGAAAACTCCACTCTCACATACTTCAGCCAACAGAGCCATATTTCATGTCAACAATGATGAGACTGCAAGCATCTGTTCTGAAGCTTCCTAGACACAACAATGAAGGGCACCTTGATGAATGTTAACAATTGTCACTGAATTTGATGATTTTGAGTCTTGGTTCATCTGCCTCCTAGAGTGATTAATCTCTAAATCTCAAGGTAAACAACAAAACAAATCTGCTCAACAATAAACCTGTGCTTTATCAGGAATCTGTTTCTCAAAAGTTGAGTTGTGACAAGAAACCAAACAAAAATCACACTGTGGTTTGGCCTCACTACTCACCGAAGGGTCAACCTGGTCATTGGTCACTCCTCGCAGAACTATTCTTAACGGGTGCTTCATAAATGGAGCCAGGCAAAGAAGACTCTCCAGGTAATAGCCAATGCTGCGAAGGACACTACAGTCATGTTCCACAGATCCACCATATAGGAGGCCAGGCTGATAATATAAGGTTGTTCCTTACACGGGAGGAAAGAAAGCCACATTCAGCAGGAAAAAAAAGTTTCACAAAGGCAACGAAGGCAGTGAGTCCCAAAGGGGAAGCCTGACAAGGGCATCCAAGAGAGTTCAAAATGCCATTCCTAAGAGCCCACACTTCACTCCAAAAGCTGACTCATTACTGTCAAGCCCTTGTAACAATAATAAACTGTGAGTGTAATTTAATAAACAGTAATAAATTAAACTCCTCCCTAAGCCATCTGAATTGCCAAAGTCATGGCAGGGCACAGAGGAGAGATCCTAACAGACACGCTAGTCTCCCAACAGCACATTCTCAGACTGTGCTGATGGTGGAGTGGGGGGCATGTGGGTGTTACAAATGATGTTCTGAAATCATCACACCAGCAACCAACTTCTTCTAGGCCCTTGAAATGAGATTTCCATATACCAGTCACCAAACAAGAAGCCTAGAGAAGGCAAGTACTTTATGGCACTTAATACCATTAATAGTAGCTATTTTAATTTAACAGTAATAAATGAAAATATCTAAAATTATTGAATAGCTTTAGTGGAAACTCTTTATTGTCTTTATTCACTCTTTCACATATTCATATCATCCCAAAGTTTCTTATGGATTTACATATTTGGAGCAGGAAAAAAAGTAAAATACTCTAGATGATCTAAGGGGTATAAATGGGTGAACAAGGTATTTTTGCTGCTCAAATGTTTTGCAATGTCTTCTGGCACAATTTACCAATAAACTAATTTAACATTAGAGGAGGGAGATGTGTTCAGTCACTCAAAAGGAAAGTAGTTCTTGGGAGTTTCATAAAATAAGTTTAGGTTTTACTATATTAAAAACCAAAATCCCAACAATCACAATCAGAATCATATTCTTCCCAAACTTCTCTAAAGGAAAGATTCTACATCAATTATTCTAAATACTATTAGAGTCACAAAACCAATCTTTTAGGTCAAAAAGACAAAAAAAGACTATATAACCACTAAGCTCTACACGTCTTTACACCTACAAATTAACCAAATGAGAAACTGACCAGATCATCAGAATGAAGGCTTCTACTCCAGGTGTGTGTGTGTGTGGGGGGGGGTGATGATGAGGAAGTAGGATCACGTAAGTGTCTTACTTCCCAAACTAAGCTGCAGATGTGCAGATGTGACTAGAAAAGAACAGAATTATCTACCCTCTGAATCACCAATAAAAATTGCTAAAAAAATCTCCAGCAATTTCAAAGTGAGCAAGCCAAGGAAGCCCAAAGGAATCATTGCTTGCAAAGGGCATCTGGAGTCTGATGCCTAAAACCTGTTCTCTATAAGGTATGGCTAAATGCAGCTACAGGTCAACGAGTCTGATGTGGTGCAGGGCCACTTATGAAGCCAAGCTTGTTTTCTTTCTTAAGAGAGCCAACATATGGGAAAGTTCAGAGCTTCCTTTGATGAATATATGTGCAAAAGTACATAGTTCACGGATTCAGCCAAAGGATGTTTGCCATGGTATCCTATACAATGCAGGTACAAGAGTTTCTAATAGCAAACAAACAAAAAGCTAGAAACCACCTAAATGCCACTGAAATATTAAGGTGGACTTGCATGTGCCAGGCAGGGAACGTTCTCTGAGACAATTGTGCCAGTAAAAAAAAGCTGGCAGTAGAACAATATGAAGAGCATGATCCTGCTGATGGTTTGAGATACTCGAGGTGTCCATGTAAGCAAATGCATATAAAGGACACAGGGCACACATCCCAGGCTGTGACTGCCCCTGGGGGAGAAAGTGGAAGAGGAAATAGGTAAAGGGATTTTCACATTTTTTGCATATACTTGTACAAACTTATTTTAAAAGACAAAATAAAAAAATAAAATTCAGCGCATACAATACCTCACAGAGCTTGTTATAAGATTTTAATTAACAGTATAAGTATACAAATGGACTTTAAAAAGTTGTATGTAAATGTTGAGTATAAAACATATTGTTAAAAAAGAGGAAGTGCTTGCTTGTTGATTTGAAATTTTCATTCTTCTAACTTCCTTAAATCAAGTGTGTGCCCCTAAAATTGGCAGATTTCACATACTTCTCCAGACAATTGTATCACAGACAGGAAATTGGGTCTTTTCATCTGAACAGAATATTTATACCATCAAAAGGAGTGCTAAACAGGAATATTTAAGTAGCACATATAGGTGCTTTCAGGAAAGGGGAAAAAAGGAGCTTACCTGTTTGGTTTATTTCGATTCGAGAACCATTAGTTATTTTGTCCAAAAGCCTTATGAAGCTGGCTTCAAAATCTGTGGGAAAAAGAGAAAGCAGATTGGCCTCATATTAGGTCACCATTTCCAGAGAGCACATCTCATCCAGGTACTGCAGTGGAGGGTGGGGTACTTCCTCCATCACACCTGGGTTCTCTTCAGGATCTGGGGGGGATCTCACTGGTGGAGGAAGCTGACGCAACTGAAAAGCACTACCTACCACATACATGTTTAGTACAACTACTAGAAACAATTCAGCTTTCACATTCACAAAAAATTGCAACTCTACCAGCAATCTAATGGGATATTAATTTCAGCAGCATAACACCCATAAAGACCTGTTCTTCTGATCGCAGGAGTGCATGCAAAATATGAGAGAAACAGCAGAAAGCAGGGAAGAGTTTTAAAGTCAAATTCTTACTTGCTCCAGAACATCTGAGAGGGCAGATTAAATCAAGGGCCACCCTTCAGTCTCAGACATAGTAAGAGGTCACTGTCTCTGCCATTCAATCAAGTGTCCCTTCTTCTTTCCTCTATCATCTTACTGATCTGGTGCTATCTAACCAGTTCAGTTGTTTTTATTTCATTACAAAGATGCCTGAATGTACAGTATTACTGCTAAATTTATTTAAATGCATGAAAAAAGACTAGAAGAAAAAACTCCAAATGTTAATAAATGGGTTTCTCTCGATGGTAGGATTTTACATGAATTTAATTTTCTGGTCAAATTCTAATGTTCAAATTTGCTTCAATTCCTTTCATGAACAGATTGTTATCTAAAATATAACAACTGGGTATTCTTTAAAAGGTGGAGGAGGGAATAGATTTTAAATGTGAAATATGGGAGGAGATTGAGTGAAGACTCAGACAGGAGAACAGGTCCTCTGTCCCTCCCGAGTTGATCTTACACTTACACACACACACACACACACACTTTAGCTTCAACCTCCTGTCCATTAACAAGGACAGGAAGACCAACTCTTCTGAAGGCACTGTAACTGCCTGATGCTTTTAGGCATTTCCCACTCCTGTAATAAACTAGCAGAGTTTGCAAGCACAGACCCCAGTGGTCACCTGAACTCATCTCGAAGGGTAAGCAGATCAACTAAGCAATTCCTATCCACCTGTTGTTACTTAACGTTCTCCCATAACTCCTGTCATAGTAGATTCTGCAATCTGTACAAAGAGCACTGGGCTAGAAGTCAGAAACGCCATTAAGTTCTGAAACAAGTAATAAAAGCTAATAACAGCTGCTGTGTATTAACGCTTCCATTACACCCACACATTCTCTTATTTAATCCTCATAACCCCAAGGCAGGTAGTGCCATTCCCATTTTATAGAAAGCTGAGGCCCAAGAATGACGACTAGCTTGCCCCGGTCAAACAACTGGCAAGTGGCAGAGTCAGAAGTTGAGCCCAAGTCTGTCCTGCTCCAAAGTCCACGCTGTTAACCTCGCCATGACACTAATTTGCCTAATCCAGGTTAATCCCTTGGGGCCAACCTCTTCCTCTAGAAAATCAAGGACTTTTTCACCAGTGGGCAGTGACCTACTGAGGGATCCTGCAGACAATTTAATGAGTCCCCAATCAATTTATGTTTAATGAAGTTAGAACACAATAAAGGATATCAGAGTAACTCTACATAAAAAGGGTGCAGTTCATGAAACTCTGGTCTCAGTTTTACATAAATTTATACGTGTATTAGGTAGTGGTGTAAGTAGCATCACAAAAGTTCAAGAGTAACTCAGCTACAAAATTGACCTAGAAATTATTTCTATGGCCTTTTTATATAAAATATTCTGTTTTTAAAAAGTCAGGCATGATCTATCACACAATGCCACTTTCTACTTATGTTTATAGAAAAGGCAAAGTACTCTGCACAAAAAAGGAAAACTTGATTTGCTCAAGCTTTCAAGGTGCCTAAATGGGAGAGAGGAACAAGCATTTATGAATAAAGCCCAAGATTAAACTCCATAGCTTTTACAGGTTAGGAAAGAAAAAAAATAAAAGCATGACTTCAGAAATAATTTTTTTCTTTTTTTTGCAATCCACAGGGGCTCTTAAGCATAAACACAGTTAAAAATGCCCAGCAGAGAAACACGAATAGGAATAGAATAGACACATTAAAGAGACCTCCAGGCAGGACCATGCCCTGGTCACAGCAGAACCAAACACAGAGCTAGTTCCAGAATCCTGGCAACAGTGAAGATATAGCTCCATCACCTGGTACAAAAAAGATCTCAAGTTCACCTAATAAGATTAAGACTGAAGTCCCAAACTTCATCAAGACAAAATGTGTAGGACTCCTGGCCCCTTCACTTCCCATACACCCTTTGTGACACTTCCTCTTCAAGACTGCTCCTGGGGCTACAAAATTTCAGATATCTAAAAACATTAGAGGAAAAGCTCCAAAAATAAGCACAATTTCACTACATTGTTTAGGAATACACAATTAGATTATAAGGCTATAAAGAGAATCAACACAAATACATTAATGGTCAGGAAAAGTAGCTACCATCAGGGGCATGGAAGAGAGCAGCACATGGAAGAGGCACATAGGTGCAGGCAATTCTATTTCTTGACCTGGATGGGGTCACACAGATATTCATTTTATAATCCTTTAAGCACTACTTCTATGTCTTATGCAGTTTTATGTTATCATATTTCACATTTTAAACAAATTTATACTGTTAGGACATTCAATCTGAGGAGTCCTTAATACCACCTCCCATGCCTAATGCTCTCCTTCCCCTCCCTAATCACCGGCCCCCCCCACTGCCGCCCAAGAAGTGAGCTCATTATTTCTTTAAAGGAGTCCGTAACTCCTATAAGACAGTGGCAGTGGTCAGCCTGACCCAATTCTTCACTAAGAAAGGCAAAACTATGTCTCAAAGAAGGGGAGTGAAAGAAGGAATACAATCAAAAGATCTACATTTAAGGAGCAAATCTCAATAAATACAGTTTCGACTTAAATATCTAGAAATACTAGTCTGCTTAAATAAATTATGATGCATCTCTACATACGAACACTCTGCAGCCCTAAAATTAATGAGGTTTTTTACATACTGATATGAATCATCTCCATGGTATATTCAGTGAAAAAAGATGCAGATGGCCATTTGTGTGAAAAAGAAAAAAGTGTATATGTATTTGCTCATTTATGAAAAAAACAGTCCCGAAAACAAGCACAACAAACTAGTAACACTGATGGCTTCACAGGGAAGGAAGAGTGAGAAAGAGACAGACAGACAGAGACAGACTTTGTAAGCTCTTTTGTTCCCTTTGAATTTCATGCCATGTGTATGTGTGTTTAAAAATACATAAAATTTAAAATAAAAAATACAAATAAATGTATTGTAACACAATTTAAACAGTCAACAAAACTGCTCTCATTAAATAGCTCGTGAAAAATCTTTATAATACTATGTGGCCATTAGAAATATTTTTTAAATAATCATTTAATTATATGAGGAAATATCCACGCTATATTAAGGAAAAAATTAATAAGTAATATATACAACGTGATTTCAATTTCTTTAGAAAAGTAACTAAAAGATAAGACAGTGAACTATTAACATATGAAATTAGGAGTCATTATTTTCCTCATTAAATCCAAAAAGGTAGAAATTACAAACACATACTCAATTCTCAGAATAAATTAAAAGATGTCTATTCACTTGGAAATTATGTATAAGTATATACATATTTTATGCACAATATGTATGCATAATGTGATAAACAATAAATTATATTTTAATTTAAAGAGCTATATAACATCTTGCCTAAATTATGAACAGGTGAAGAAAAATACTGCAGAACATAATAAAATATCTTAAACAGAAGTACTAATTTTACTAATATACACGGGAGTCTACTAAAAAAAAATTTACCACTCTAAATACCTTAGTAATTAAGAAAAAGAAAAGCAAGAGCAAAATGAACTGAGATTTTAGAAATGGAACAAAATCACAAGCTGAAAACTAAATGAAAATAATAATCTAAAAGCAGATAAAGAAAATGGAAAATATAGTAGGAAAAAAATTAAGCTAATTCATTGAGAAGATACAACACAAATCAATAGCCCCATTCATTTGTAAAAGGAAAGAAAATGTGAATTAATAAAATCAGAAATAAAAAATATAATTAATAAAAAAGATTAAGAGCTTTTATGGCAAACTATTCTCTATTATTTATTGACACATTTGGAATTAAGATAGATAGCTATGTAAAAAGATGACAAGTCAAAGCAGATAATACAAACCAAAAAAAGACACAAAAAGATAAACCCAAAACAAAGGGAATGAGAAAACTTACCAAACAATAAACAGAAAAGAGCACTGATGAAACTACTAAAAAATGTTTTCCCAACACTCAAAGAAAAATAATTCTTATATTACACACTCCAAAGAACCAAAAAAAAAAAATATATATATATATATGTAGAGATGGTTCCAACTGCAGAATGCTTAAGAGCACCACACACAAAGAAATCAAATTACAAACTAACCTCATTTAATGAGAACAAATGAAAACTCCTAAATAAAATCTTAGAAAAGAGACCATTATACACTTTTTAATTATCCACTATGATTAAGATGGTGCATCCCAGGAATGGGTTGCAGATAAAGTATAAGGAAAACTACAATATAATGAAATACAAGATTAAATACAAAAACAGGGAAAAAAATCAAGTTGCTACTGAAAAGGCATCTGATAAAATTCAACATCTATTTTCCAGTAAAAGTCTGCTTTAAAAAGTAGCAAGAATGAATTTATTCAATATAAAAAAGTTTATATATAAAAACAGAAGCCTTAAAGAAGCTCAAGGAGAATGTCTTGATGGCCTTGGGGTAGGCAAAGATTTCTTTAAAAGGACACAGCAAGATTTATAAATTGGGCTACATTAAAAGTAGAAAATATTGTTCATCCAAAGACACCATTAAGAGTGTTAAAAGACAAGTCACAGAGTGGAACAAGATATCTGCAATACTTAAACACAGATAGAATACATAAATTGTGGTATATTAATAAAATGTAAT